AGCTCGCGAATTTCTTGGCGTGGTCGAGAGTGCCTTAGTAAATCTGCGTGTTTTAGTGTGTGTTTGGGCTAGACTATAAATACATTTTGTCCTTTGCATTTTGGGGATCCCATCTCTCATTTTTCACTTTTCCCACTTTGGGAAATTAGCTTAAGTTTTATTTTGCTCTCTAGATTAGGAGCTTATGTCATTTTCCGGGAGATTTTCCGGCGACTTCGGCTTCGTTCAAGTTTCGAGCTTTTGACTCCGTTTTTTCATCGTCTACGCAATGGAAGAATGAGTATTTAGTTTTAAAGCTCTTTACTTCGGTTTTTGCTCCGTTTTTACTTATAATGCTTATTAGGGTAAATTTGGATTTGATTGATGATGGAGGAAATGCTTATGCTTGATGGTGTTGCTTGAGTAGATAGAGTCGTTAATTGCTCGTTGATCTAGTTTAGACGACTAGGGTTAGCTATCTAATGCTCGTAGCTCGTTTATTCCGTATGTCGATTGATTATCATCCCGTTATGGTTATGGCGTGAGACTCCGGTGATCTAGTTAGCTAATTGCTCGCCTTTTCATCTCGTTTTTAATTGATTGCTCGTTTTAAGTGCTCGTCTAGTGATAATCAAACCCCCCAATCAATTGCTTAGAATGTTTAGGATTTTATTTTCGATTTTTGTGATTTGGACGATCATATAGTTGACGAAGCTCCGAATAGCCTTCCTCCGAGATCGACCCGAGTTGGGTAACTCGGTTATCCTTTGCCCATCAAAATTATGCTAAACATTGTGTTGGTTGGTTACCTTCTGATAAATACCTCCGCTTGCATTATTAGATGCTCTTACTATATCTTCTTTTATTTGAGTAGTTAAGTTTCTTTTGAATATGGTGGTTAAGCATCCATGCTATGTTATAATTATTCGACATCGATTTCGAGCTCTCCTGCAATAGTGCAGAGCTTTCTAGCCTGTTGTAATTATTGCCGTATTTTATTCTAAGGTGTTCAACATGGAGAGTTTTAAATGGTCATTTGGCATTTTTTTTTCACGATTGGTAAGCAGTGATTAATAGTAGTGAACTGAAAGAATGTTAATTTTTCCAAGGAGAGGTTCATTCTTGCTGCATAGATCGTTTGATAATGTAATATATTAATGTCATGTTGTAGGTAAAATTTCATTTTTGGTCCATTATATTGGTCATTTTCCAGAAATGATCCACTAATTTGGCGGACATCAAACTTGATACAATAAGTTGTAAAATTCATTATTTTTGGTCCATTAATCACTCGGGCTGGATAACGAGCCTACGTGGCGGACATCAAACTTGTCCACGTATTCGCCCGATAAAACGCCACGTAGGCTTATGGACTAAAAATGATGAATTTTACAACTTATTGTATCAAGTTTGATGTCTGCCAAACTAGTGGACCATTTCTGGAAAATGGCCAATATAATGGACCAAAAATGAAATTTTGCCTCATGTTGTAATCAAGTACGTTTACCCTCAAGGTTGCTTTGTTTTATGTCATGTTGTCACTTAGAGTGCTATTATCTATTGAATAATGTACTTGGTAGCTGGTATCATCTTTGCTCTAACTTTAATTACTTGATTGATTTATAGGTTGAAACATTTCTAGATTATGATAAATCATCTAAGGCAGTTGTTTTCACGACTGATCGAGCATATCAGCCAGGTGAGCAGGTACACATGCTAGAGTAATTAGCCTGATTACATGAAAAACCCACATTCTTGTCATTTTATCGTTTTTAGAACGCCATACGTGATGTGATTGCGCGTTCACTTTGTTGTGCCAGATTCTGAGGAGCAGGCTGAGAGATACGAGAAGCGGCGAGCTAAGAGCTTTGAGGGGATCTTCGGCGGTTTCAGAAAGCTGTTCAACTGAGAAATTAATTTGCTGCCTATGTTTAGGCCAAGGTTGTTATTTTGCTGAATATCATCTGATTTCATCAAGGGATTTGTTGGCTCTTGTGTTCTGTAATTTGTTGGTTTTGTGATGCATCTTTTTTTTTTTTTTTTTTTTTTTTTTTTTTTGCCGGAACGATAGAATCTTTCTAAAAATAAAATAGTTATTTTGTGAAGAAAAAACTTGTTACTAATCACTGTTTTCACTGTTCTAACTTGGCCTGGAGCACCATAATGGAAAAATAAGTATTGAATTTTTTTTTTAAACTACAAAGGGATCTTCATATTAAAATTTGATTATATTTTGAACATACTGGTATCTCATTTGACATACTAGTATGTAACTCGTGCGATGCACGGGCTGTACTTACTTTAGAGAATATTAAAAATTAAAATGTATTAATAAATAAAAGAGTGATAATTTTTAGGAAAATTATCAAACCATAAACTGTTCCGCAAAAAAATATATTATTTAAACTTTTTTGTACACAACATTATTTGTTCAATAACTGAGCAACTCGTCGTCCCCACAAACTAATATTTTCAATGCACATCTCCTATCTATTACTTACACTTAAAAACAATAACATATAATCGGTCGTTGCTAAGAATCGATTTCTTTAATAATATGCCAACGCACATAAAGACTGACCCATATCTTAAATGAAACCCTAAGATTAGAAGTAACTGGTGCTCTAGAACTTAAATGAAATCCTAAGATGAATCTTTAATTTTTATAATATGATAATTTACTTAGGCAGTCAAACAATGAGCTGTTAGTTTAATATCGATTATACTTGATTAGCTATATAATATTCACTAATATTTTTATATTTTTTATACAAAAAGACTGACCATGACTGTTTAATGGAACCTCAAAATCAGAAGGAACTGGTGCCGCTAGAACTTAAATGGAAGTTTAAGATGGATCTATTTATAATATGATAATTTATACAACAGTTGGACAAATGAATTGATATACATCTACAAAAATATGTATGAATAATACAAAATATTAAAAATTACATCACGCTAATTTTATGAGAGATATTATATATAGTAGATATGAAGTATAAAACATTAGTGATTAGACATTACTTCAGGATAATTTTTTCAAGCCGGACATTTTTTAATTGAATGTGTGACAACTTGTTATATATTTTTTCAAACTGAACAATTTTTAATTGGACAACTTTCTTATTATATGTGTGACAACTTTTTAGGTAGAAATTTATATGTATATATATATAAATATATATTGCAATAAATTTATATTTTGTGTATACAAAAACAAAAAATTGATTTACTATACAAAATTTTAAATTTTTTCTTTTAAAAACAATTGACAAAAAAGAATACCAATAAAGGGAATTGGTGTTTACCAAAAAAAAAAAA